TGTGTCTAATGCAATTAAAGATTTTATGGATATATGATATATTATTTAAGAAATTTTTAAATAAATAATTTGAAATGCAAATAATCATGACAGTGTTAAATAAATATTATACTCATACTCACTGTCAATAGTTCAAAACTTGATATATGTAACGTATCATGAATGCGTAATATTATTATACAGCGCTTTCTTTTTTACATAATGAATTGCTCTGTGATTTATTTCGTGTGAATCTTGAGATAGTTTTTATTTACTTGTGGTTGTTAAAATTATTTATATATACGTACAGAAATAAACAAACACGAACACACAATACATATATATTTGCACCATAGTAATAAATATTTTACTTAAATCACGATTTTATTTTGATTTTATGTAAATACACATCTGTTTCAAAATTATATATCAAGTTTAAGAGGATAATTGAATTAAAACATGTATAAATAAATGTTATAGTTGAAAATGTGAATATTTCATAACTAGTGGTTTTGTCTTATTTTAGCATTAGGTAAAAAAAAAAAAAAAATGTGTTTCAATGTTCCATTCGCACAGAATACAAATGCCTCTGAATTACCTTACTGTTATTTATTTGAAACTCTATAATAATTTCGTTATTTTCACATTTTAACACATACGTAATGTTTCCGTAACTATAAGTGTCAAAAAAAAAAAAAAAATTAACTCTTGTAATAATAACTGAAAAATAATTATTATACATTACCCTACGGCATTGATATTATTTGAATAAACGTATACGTGTTTCTTAAATATCCTCATCAACGAAATATATGTAAATGCGATAAATTTTTTTAAAGAGACTAGATTATCATTTAATTGATCACTTAGTAAATACGTGTTGCTAGTAGTATTGAAGTTTTTGCTGCATTGCATTTGAAACGATATTGAAGTAGAAAAACTTCTTACTCAATATTATATCGAGTATAATTTTTATCAATAATGACTTTATTGAACAATGTTATATCCAGTAGTATTATTTCCTTCGGTGTAATAAAAAAGATAATTTCTTCCTCTCTATGAATTTTTCTGGTGATTTTTTTATTTTTTATTTTTTAATTTTTTTATATCGCATTATCTTACACGAGTCCTCTTTTATAAATTATTCTTTAATCCCCGACTATGTGATCTTGAATCGGTGAATCAACTGCTTTAATCGAATAAAAATAAAAATATTATCATAATGCAATTGTAAACTGCGCTCCGCGCTAACTGCCAAGTATCTATAAATTAAAGCTATTCATATTTTTATTTTCATCTCTACGTAATCACTTAATACAACGATTATTAAATCTATTGCATTCAATATATTGAATATATGATTTGCGTGACGTTAACGGTTAATTGAAAATAATCGATTATGTAGAGGATAATTAAGACGAAGTAGCAAAATTTTGCGCTTCATAGAGTTAAGACAAATCGACATAACACCTCATTTGCCTCAAGGAGATCGATTTCGCGCTCACGCGAACAAGTTCCAAACATACGTAACGCGCGGAGTTGGAAAAATAAGCGAAGCGTGGATTGTAAGCGGCGCCGGGGAATGGACCGATGAGCATATTTGATTTGCAATTATCATTAAATGCCAGGAGCAGTTCGTGGCACGGATATTAATTTGCTTGTCTCTTGTTAGCAAGGGTCGGCCGAGGCCGTGACTATGTACTGGCCATCGTCCAAATTTTAGAGAGAAACTGAATATGAGAGACGTTACTCATCCGTCGGGACTAGTCAATTGGAAAGTCCGCCGATTGATATTGCCGACTAGCGGATGAACGCAACTATATTGATTACCTTATTCCCCATATACGAGGTACACGCCCTGAAAGAAGAGAAGTCTCGCAATAGGAGAATGACGATTGTATAGTTGTTGGTAGATATTTGGAAAGATTTAGCACGGCCGGTATGAAATGTTGGAGGTAATTTATTACGTTAGACGATGCTCACGTCACTCCGAGCACATTTGACTATTTGAAGTGTCTGATTATATGGAGATGATAAATATGATTGAAGATAGTCAATTCCTTGGAGCTAGCAAAATTAGAAATTTCGCTTTATAGAAATTGGAATTGAAATGAATTTTAATGAGAGATTATAAAATTACGTGTCTTGACAGTTTAGATGTAGCCTTACAGTAAAGTCAACTCGTGCAAACTTAAATCCTTAAAAGTATTATAATTTCTGCTGCTTACATTATATCGTTGTATAATTGATTAATTGCTTATTACATTTAATTAAAAGAAGGTTGAAATTTCATAGCCAATCAGTTGGATAATATTATTAAATTCAATCATTTTCATTATTATTATTATATTATTAGTTTTTCCTCTCGTGTTGCAATATTCAACATTTAATATTGATTATAAACTTTTCTTTTAAAGAATAGACTTATTATTTAAAATATATGATTGAATATATAATGACGTTTGTTATAATGAGTATTGGATGTCAAGATTGTAGTAGATCCAAGAAAATTATATTGCAATAATAATTTTTTACTTATATTAAGATTACTCTTAATAATCGCAAATTATATTTTTAAAAAGGATATATTTTCTATTTTGTTTTCACTGGATTATGTTAAAAATAAAAAAGAAAAAATTATTTTCTTAAATTAGTTAATTTTCATAATAATGTTATTATAACCTTAAACGAGATTTCCTTTTCAAAATAGTATATATATTAGCAAAAATAAATATAACGCATTGTTAGCAGTAACATTCCCGTCTGATTTCAATAATTTATTTCAATAATTTATCTCTAATGGACATTGTTTATCTTACTTTGATTAATTATAATTTTATTGTATGTACACGGAAATATCTATCTGCTTTAATTATTAGAAATTTATTTGATATTAATACTTTTGGCTATAATGTTTTGTGAAATATGTTTGAATAATCCAACATTCGTCTATACATTTATTCCATATTATAATTTATATATTTAAATATTAATTTATCAAAATCCATGCAAATCTCTGTATTTACATAAATTTTTTCTTTTTTTTTTTACAAATTTCAGGATATTTCTTTAATGCATTAAATATGCTCGTCATAATATTTCAGAGTATTGACTCTTCGGCATAAGCTGAGAGATAATTAACAGGTAATTTATGTTAATTTATAAAACTCTATTATTTTAACTTACACCGTAATAAAATGTCCGATTTTATTATTTCTGAATAATAAATTATTCATCTCTAATGATGGGATATTATTTTTTTAGTTTATAAACATTTCGCGTCTCGAAGGCTTGATATTAGAAAAAAAAAAACAAAACAAAACAAAAAAAACTATACAAAACAAACTCGTTATCATCTTATATTAGAGACTATTTTCTTACAAACTTTATCAAGTTGAATGGCATTTTATTTATTTATTTAATTTATTTTATTTATCAATTCATTATATTATTATATTAAAATTATAAATTAGTATTAATATTATTTCAACACCGATACAGCTGTCTTCAAATCAATCAAATAATTTCGATAATTCTTTTTTTACTTTAAGATTTCAATTTATTTGATATATACAACAATAAAAGTATCAAAGTTACGTAACGTAGCATGAATCTTCTCTCGAGTGCAAACACGCCCGTTCGATATAAGTATTCTGTGAGTCAAATTGAAATCGATTATCAACCATAGATATTCAATTGTGAACTTAATCTTCACGAATATATCATCGCGCTTTATTGAGAGAAGAAGAATACATTTGCTTATCAAAAATAAGAAGACTATTGACATTTTATATATAAAATCAAATTAATCGTTTGATCAAAACGTATAGACTAATATGTACTCAATTTACCTTAATTATGATTAATTATGATCAACATGAAAACAGTACTGCTCTTGATAATAATTATTTTCATTCGAAAAAGACACGTTGATAAATAATTTTCTTTTCTTCGATAAATATTTACATTTATTTGTTATTTTACGCAGTTATTCCTCTATATAATGAATATTAATCCTAATGTTGCTTATAGATTGATCAATTATTTTCTTCTTATTTTATTCTCTTATTTACCTCTTGTTTAACATTTAAAATTAAATAACAATTTTTTATTTTTCCTAATACTATTCAATTTCTAATAAACACTACTCATAATAATATTCAATATTTTGTGCGTGTGTGCGCGTGTGTGTTGTAAATTAACTAAAAATGTAATTTGTCATTATTAATTCGATATTTATTTTCTATTTTTAGGACTGAATTTTTTTTTCACAAAATTCATGCTATCTTCAATTTATAATTATTACGAAGATTCAAAATTTCCAAACATACGATACAAAGTCATTCTCTTTTCAAATTTATGCTTTGAAAAAAAGTAATAAATAGGTAACGGCTGGTTATACTCCAATTATATTCTGTATAATTTAATATATGGTATTCGTTTATTAAAAAGGATTAATATTTCTCAGATACTTACCATGACAACCATTCTATAGTTTTCCATATGTATATATGTATATAATCATTTCTCGATCAAAGATTCTTCGTATTATAAAATGAATTATTTTCACTATATTTTTATTTATTACAATATTATATTATATTAATTAAATTTATATCAATATAAATTTGATATATATATATATATATATATATCAATTGTTAAATATAATTTTTAAATAAAAAAAATCGCTCAATTATTAGTTAAAATATTAGTCTTTAAATGCATAATTTTGCATACACATGACACGTCAATAGTTTAATTTAATAAACGACATTATTATTACATACAATGCAGCGAATTATAATTCCTTTATTGAGCGGAAAACATTTAAGTTATTTGAAATCCACTTCATCGGCATTATTATAGCAACAAAACTTTTAATTTCTCCTTTATTCGGATAACTTGTGCGCATGTCGCAGTTTAACTTCTTTTACCGCGCGCATTTTCATAGAGAAAGATTTTTAAAAATTCTCTAACAAAGCATTACCGCTTTAAACATATTTCAATACAATACATACCTCGACGCGACTTCGTCACTAGCGAGCATCATTTCTCCCTCGGCGCTGTAAACGAAGATCCTCTCATTACCCTGATACCACTTTATACTGTGTAGCCCTATGCACTGCGGCAATTTCAGAATGCACGGCAGCTGGATTTCCGTACCAAACTCGGCGTGCTTCTCGCTCTTCAGCCACGCCTCGCCGCTTCCTGAAATGCACAAAACACGCTGACGTTTAACGCTCTGTTGCTTTTCCTGCATATATTGCAGTCGCTGTGTATGGTAGTGCCTCGTCTACACCACCCTTCTTCCCATTATCCCATTTTTATTTTTCAATCTTTTCAATACCGCTCTCTTTCTCATTGTACGGGATCTCGAGAATTACAGTTTTTCAGCAAAGTGTTTTGAATCCGAAGGTTAAAAGTTTTTAATTGAAAGTCCAACACTGGACAATTAATAATAATAAGCTGCTTTATATCTTTCGACTTTGTATTTGGCGATAGTGAGTAATTTTATCAGGGATATATAAATTCTTTTTTTCTTTTTTTTTCATTATGGATTTTTTTTAAGTAATAAAATAAAATTTTAAGTAAATAATAAATTTTTAATTGTTTATTTCATTGCAATGTTATAAGTGTAAGTTGAATAGTATATCCGGTAGAAAGATGCCTCGTAATAAAATATTCGCGCGGAAGAAATATATGAGCTTTTGTTTATAGGAATATTAATTTTCAATGAATGTTTTGTTGGAACGTACATGTTGATAATTTGTAAAATTAACTGCATATATCCATTTCGATAATACACGTATAATAAAGTAATCAATTATTTCATTCAGAAATATGTATTATTGACTTATATCATAAAGATTATTTTATTATTTTTGGCGAACGTTCTACACACGTCGCACACATTGCGCAGAGAACTAATTGAAAATTAGTATGAATTCAAAATATATGTTATACTTCGGTTTGTCTTTATTGCATACACCGAAAAATATAATTTTATAACCACAAATATTATATGATTATAAGTGGATAATAAATTTAATTCTATAACTCCACTATATCTGCCCATTAAAATAGCATATCTATGTACTTTGGTTTAAAATAATAATAATAATAATAATAATAATAATAATAATAAATTACCAATAAATTCTACGAAATAATATATCTACGTAAAATATATTTGAAAAAATAATAACCGAACATTATGACTGGCCATACAATGTTTTCCCGCCATAAATGCAACCTACACTCTCCCGTCCGAGATGCATAGTGGTTGTCAGTCCCTTGAGCGCACTTCCTCCTGCACTCCTCCTTCGTTCGCTAAAGTTACGCGCGAAGGGTGAACTTGTTGCACCGACGAGAACGTGAGTTGACCGAGGGTAGGGAGTAATAGCACGTGGCGAATAACGAAGGATAGAGTTTATTCGCCTTACGCTTGCGGCAATGGGTTGGTTGGTATGCGAGCCAATACGAAGTTTCTTCAGAGCGAGGATAGTACGTACGCTAAATAAACTTGTGGGTGAAATTTGGATGGATGTCACTGTCCTTTATGTATAACATTATATATATAATTTGAGTAGGAGCGAGGTTAGTCGGAATTGTATATTTTAATAAGAGCACATTGTACTTTCGCTACCACTAACCTACCTATGCACGTCTTCTTTTTCCCTTCGACTTATTTATCGTCAATGTATTCCTTCGTGGATATGTCATTCGTATCATTTGTCTCTCAATGTCGTTGTCGTTACCCGTGTTTTCTTTGCGTTATATAGTTAATGGCATATTGGCTGGCCGAGATAATTAGAATTTTATCGCACGCGGATTTGCTTCCTCCGTACTTTCTCTACCAGTGCTCAACGAATTTCTCGTTTCAAGAAATTCTCTTACTGCATAATGAAAGACAGTACGAGCATAATTCTTTGCTATATTACTCGTCTAGAAAATACTAATTCAATGAAAAAACTTACAACTTCATAATGCATGTACTTTCGTTCATAATAGTCGAGTGTTTATTTTTATTTAAATGCATAAAATGAATGAAATAAGGAAATATTGCTCGTATAATTGAAGCACGCAAATGAAAGAAAAATCAATAAATATATAAAACTTAAGTTAGTAGTTTACAATGAAATGCATTTGTTTTAATGTAATATTTATTATCCTCCGTTATCGCTAAATTTTAGCAGACAGTAGTTGATTATTTTTGCAAATGACGAACAAGTACTTTTGATATTCTATTTCAGAAAACATTTGTTTACTAGAGCGTAGAGTAATAAAATATTGCAATCAATATCGTGATATGAATAATTCAAAATAATGTAAAGGAAATGAATTGGTAGTAATGCATATCAACGAAGAACGTACATAATGTAACAGGCTTTTAATGAATGATTGACAAATGCTTTTGTCTTATATTTTGTGCCTAGAATTTGATATTGTTGTTATTAATATTAAAAATTGGTAAGTCAATATCCTTTATACCAATATGCTTTATATGTACAATTTATTTATATGTTTTGCATGTATATTTTATTTGTATATTTCATGCACATATTTTATTTATATTTTATATGAAAATTTTATTTATATTTTTTACATGTATATTTTATTTATACGTTTTACATGTGTATTTTATTCATTTTCATATAGCTGATGTGTATTTCTTGTAGCTTAAATACATTAAAAATATTACACTGGATTAGGCATTAATAAATATTGAAATATCCAACTCGTTAACTATTATAATAAATTAATCTTTAAAATATTAGTTATGATTATTAGACCATAAATAGTAACTTTGCATCAAATAATGTTAAATCTTATCAATAATATCTTATAATCGAATTTATTAATTAATTGATTAAATCGATAAACCAACATAACTTAAATCTAATTTATTTATTTATTTTTTTTATAAGTTAATTAATGTCTTATTACTTGTGTTCTTCTTTTTTTTTAACACTTGTAATATTATCCCATTATATATACAAAGTTGTAAACCTACGTTTTACGATGTTATCAAAAATTTATCTTCTTCCCACTAGCAGAAAACGTCTTTCCTAGTATGGAAACACAGAAATGACTTATCTTGAAATGATAATACTAATTGAAACTTCCCAGCTTAAAAACTAATCTTACATCGCGTCGCATAGTAAAAGTAAAACTGACCCTCAAATTACAGCGCTTATTTTATTTTTTATTCGCTTATTGCAATATAATAAAAAAGCGATCGCCGATGAGATAAAATTAAACGAAACATGAAATTTCAACGGGCATGAGGCTGTATATCCGTAATCTATCCTGCATTAAACACGGGATTATCAAATTTGTATTGCTAACTGAATGTACGTGATTCCCAGCAATACTGTTCTTATTCTTATTTACATTAGTATTGTCTAATTACTTTTTACAAGAGCAGGTTATTTATATTTGCAGTCACGAAGCTGTACGGATAATAATGTAATTAGTTTTAGTATATTTTTAAATGCTTACAACTATTGTTAAAATTACATTTAACACTAGCACAAATACTTAATCAATTAATAAATAATAGAATTTACTTGATTAATCATATAACCAATTACTTGTATAAACTAATATATATGTTTGCCGAATAATTATTTTCAAAATTTTACACATTTTCTATGTGTATGGAAAAAAAAAAAAAATAAATAAATAACGAAATAAACTACTAACTTGCTTTCACATAAATAGCGCAGCAAGATTTTTTTCATCCGTGAGCATTATTATGATCATTTAAACTTGCATTATTGGTCGTTATGGATGATGCATTTGTATCAAATGATAAAATTATTATTATTATTGTGCTCGAATATAGAATACGAACAACAATATTCGTATATTTAATATCAATGGTCCAATTGAGAGAACTAGAGAAAGTCGGTAACAAAATGAGTGAATAAGTTAGACACAGGTTGGTTGATAGGAGGGAGAGGTGGAATTTGAAGCGATTGATCTATGAGGCCATGGTATTATTACGAGGGCATACATACATACATACATACATACATACACACATGCATACATACATACATATATATATATATATATATATATATATATAACCCTATGTGCATGTGTGCAAGACCACAGAATACGAAATCCGAATCAGCTCGAGCTTTATTTATACGTGAGCTGAATGAAGGCTACTTATGCTCTCTTATACCTTTATCGTATCTTTAAATTACATTGGATGTGTATAGATGCTTTATGGTTTTTAGAACTAGAATTATGCTTTCTTTTGAATATATTTTCTGCATTAATGATAAATTGCGTATAATAATAAAAAAAAAGAAAAAAGAAAAAATGTATTGCACTAAATTCGTGTATATTAGATTAAAAAATCTGATGAATATATAAATAATAAAATAATTAATGCTTATTATTGGATGTATATTTAGAAAGCCTTATAGCGTTAAATAAATATTATATGACTGAGTTTATCGGTAGGTCAAATTTATTTAGGGATGGATTAATAAACTATTAATTTAATACATTAAAACTAGTGGGAAACTTGGAAAAAATCTACAAAATTGCAATGATAAATTCTAGCTCAAATGTGCGAGTAAACTCCCATAGATTCAAAAAAACGAAATATCAGGATAGGAAGTGCAAAAAATGTGGCACACATTCAAACAGATAGATTGAGAGAGAGAGAGAGAGAGAGAGAGAGAGAGAGACAGGAAAAATGAGAAAAGTACAAAAACATATATGAATGAGTTGACAGTTGTTCTCTTTGGTACTATTCACATACACCATTTTCCAGGATAACAAAGTTGATCAATGCGAGTTTTTTCATATGAATACATTTTTGTAAAGAAATGTACCATTCCAGGATCTAATCGTTTTAAGGCTTATTTATTCAAGCTACATGAACTCTTATATTTTATGTTATATATAAAATTATTTTGTATTCGTTACAATCTAAATAATTTATATCAATAATGTAGTGAAAAAAATTTTGAAACCAATTTTTAAATTCTTGCTTTATATGTTTTATATGATAATATTAATGTAAATCGAATGTACTAAAATCTATTTTCACGGCTCAGTATTATATATAATAATATTTATTAAAATCCATTAAAGTCTTTTACTGAATTATATTTCAGAACTATAAGATATATGCTTTATACTACATTATATTAATTATTAACGAATCTCCTTTCCTCGTCTCC